CAGCGGTTTCATGTAGATGTTGAACAGGAGAGGAGAGAGAACTGAACCCTGTGGCACCCCACAAAGGAGGGGCCGAGGATGGGACCTCTTGCTCCCTATCACCACCGATTTGGATCGGCCCCGGAGAAAGGAGGTGAACCAGCACAAGACCATGCCGCCCACCCCCAATTCCCTGAGCCATCCCAATAGGATACCGTGGTCAATGGTATCGAAAGTTGCTGAGAGATAATGAGGGCCACATCTATAAAGCATGCATGCATAAAATGTATTAAAAATAAACAAACTTATAGAACATAAGGGTTTGTTGGAAGATATTTTGCAGATCATCTAGACCAAAGCCCTATCTGGAAGAAGATTGCTACTATACCTTCCCTTGGCTATAGTACTACTATGGCTTCCCCTGTATGCATAACTATATTGGTATAGACACACACACATCATACATACATACATACATGTAAGGCCCTTGAAGAAAACAGAAGATTGGACTTATTGTGAGGTTTCTTTTTTTACTGTGGTTGCTTCTTCCACTGCTCTCTGCGACAGGAGCAAAGAATGTTTTTTGTAGCCCCTAGGAGACAGTAGAGAGCAATCTCATAGCCAGTTAAGGTCCTGACAAGCAACATTAGTAAGAGCTCCACAGTGTAGGACAGAAGAAAGGTAGGTGTAATAGCACCTGTTAGGGAGATGACTCCTCCCTCAGGATAAAACACTTTTCTTCTTCATGGGAGGAGGTACCTTGATACCTCCCATCCATGGGGGGAAAAGGAACTTCACAATAAGTCCAATGTTCTGTATTCCAGCTGTGGCTGGAGGAACTAGCTAGGACCTATCAGAGTGGCTCCCAGAAAGATAGGAACTACTTGCTGTGCAGACTTATGAATGAGACACTAATTGTCATAGGACTTATCTCCACAAGATGCCTCAGCCAAGACCTGTGAATTAAGCTTGTAGTACTGCACAAAAGAAGAGACCAAGGACTATGTTGCTGGCCTACCAGTATCACTCAGTGGAGTATTAGTAGAGAAGCTGCCAAGGTGACTGCATTCCTAATGGAGTGGGTCATGAAACCTATGCAGGCAGCTGCAATTATAGCAGAGAATTATGCAGGCTTTGATCCATCTGAATTCATGAAAGATATCTTGTTGCGGGGGAGGTTTGCTGGGAAGAGACAAAGAGGCAGTCTGACTGATGCCAGTCTTGGTCTTCTTGAAATAAGTCTGATAACTCTTTGGACATCAAGTTTACACATCACTGCTTTTGGGGGGTGATGTCTAGAATCAGGCAACATAATTACAGTATAAGCATAGGCTCTGTGCTCTGTGAAATGGACAAGAATATGGAGTCTGTGTGTAAGACCACTGACTCTGAGACAGTCACACAGTTCCTCCTTGACCAATATGGCTGGCAGTTCTGATACCTGTCTGGCTGATGTAACTACAAGAAAGTCTATTTTCTAAGTGAGAAATATGGTTTCCACTGAGCAAAGAGGGTTAAAAATCAGACCCATCTGGAACTGGGCAGCCTCCTGAATCTAAATCAATCAATCAGTAAGTGTCACTCCAGTAGCCTACCTGGTTTCTAAGGCCAGGTAGCAATCCCAGGACAGAAATCTACGAGCAGGAGTGGCTTTATGCAACTATCTCTAGGTGTGAAGATGTACAAAGATGAATGAAACCTTGAACCCTCAAAAGGCTGATGCCAGCACTGAGACCAGACGCTTTCAGTTACATCCCTTGGGTCACATCCCCTTCCTCTTCCTCCAGTAGCAAAAGGTTTGTCACCTCTCATAAATCTGACTGTTGAAACACTGCAGTGGGCTAGTGGATGGAGGCAGCTTATAGCCAGGAGTAGCAATGCACTGCCAATCAAGCTCCATGCAACCCTGTGTCTGAGTGAAACTGGGCTCCCAGTTCTGACAGAGAAATCCCACAAAGGCTCATGAATGCCTGCACCATCTCAGAAGTACCAATGTCTTTTTGCCCAATAGGGAGCCACTGAGATGACTTCAGGTACATGTGCAAAAGGTAAGCCAGCAGAGAGCAGTAGGAAGGCACAGAGGAACCCTTGAGCCATTTTATATTTAGGGCACTCTAAGCTAAGGCTCTCTCTGTGGGGACCCAAGAGATGTTCTGGCTCAGGTTGTGGTGAACAACAGTGTAAAGTTGCCTACTGAAGAGTGACAAAACTTGCAATGATTTTGTAAGTTCACAGCAAACAAGTAGGGACAAGACTGGGCTGCAAATGCTATCAAAAAGGAACCCATTGATTGGGGGAATTGCTGGATTTTCCTGTCCTTCTCTTCAGGCTCCTAGTGAACATTAAATAATAACAGTGTAACAGGCAAGAGAATAAATTCTGAGACTGAGATCTCACAAGACAAGGATTTCCCCCAGAAATGCAAGCAATTAGTACCAAATGAGCTCACAGAGGAAAAAAACCTGATTTCTGCATTTAAACCCATGTCTTGTGGAGCTCTCATTGTTTCCAGCAACTGCAGTTCTTTGCTCAGTCATGTGTAACCTTATCTGATGCTATTCATGTTTAACCAGATCTGTAGTCTGTAACCTTGGGTTGTTTCTGGTTCTTCCATGTACATTTCTTCTTCTTGATCGTCTTATTTAGCTTTTTTTTTTTTTAACATACTTCTGTTTGATTGATAATTTGATTTATCTTTGGCTCTTAAGGGGTTCGTTGCTACTAGGATCAGAGGAGAGAGCTTGCCAAGGACTACTTACTTGATCCAGTGACAGACTCTAGATTGAGGGTGGCCTATGTGATCATTGGGGGAATGGAAAATCATACAATCACAGAATCATAGCATTAGAGGAGCCAATTTAGGCTACTGAGTCCAACCCCCTGCTTGGTGCAGGATTCCAGATTAAAACATCCCTGATAGATGGCTATCCAGCACCTATTTGAACCCATCCAGTGAAGGTGTCACCACCACCTGCCTGGGAAATCGGTTCCAGTGTTGAATTTTGTATTGGCTGAAAACTTTTTCTAATGTTCAATCAGAATCTGCTTTCCTGTAACTTAAATCCATTATTCCATGTCCTACACTATGGAACAAAAGAAAATAGGTCTTGATATTCTATGTGGTATTCTTTCAGGTATTTGAAAAGTGTTATCATATTCCCCCTTCAGTCATCTTTTCTGAAGGTCAATCATACCCAGTTCCTTTGATCCACTTTCATAGGACTTGGTTTCTAGTTTCTTGACAATCCTCATTGTACTTCTCTGAATCTGTTCCAATTTCTCTGCATACTTCCTAAAATATGGCGCCCAGAATGGTACACAGTACTCAAGGTAAAGTCTGGCCAAGCAGAATATAGTAGAACATCTAATTCCTATGGTTTGAAAATTATACTTTTGTTGATGCTGCCTGAATTGCATTTTTATTGCATTTTATACTGTTTTTATTGTATTTTAACTATTTATTTTATTTGTATTTTAACTATGTATTTTAACAAATATTTATTTGTTGTTTTTATTGTAAATCGCCCAGAGTCACTTCCTTGTAGATCAGTGGTGGATCCTTGTAGATCCTTATAGATCAGCGGTGTCTAAATTCGAAATATAAATAAATAAATTTGCCTTTGTAACAATATCACACCACTAGCTTATATTCAATTTGCAAGCAACTACAACTGCTTCAAGATTTTTTTCAGAAATAGCATAAATCAGCCAGGTGTCTTCCATCCTATACTGGTACATTTGATTTTTATTTCCTAAGCAAAGAATTTTATTTCCCAAGTGCCTCTGATAATTTTCATTCTTTTAGTCCTTTCCTTTAATCCTCAAGATCATCGTGAATTTTGTCTTCCAGGGAATTTTATCTTCCTCATGAATTTTCTTTGTCTTCCTCATGCTTTTCTCCATGACACTGCTGTCTCCCCTGTTCTTCAACTCCCTCAGCTCTCCAAGGAGACTGAGGACAACCAACTAATCCTGAGGAAGTCACATGAGTGGCTTCTGCTGTCATCTACATGGCTGTTGAAGATGACCCTTGGGGAAAGTCACATGGGCAGACCTCCTGATGTGACGACTGCTTGAATGGCAGGTTAGGGTTAAGGTTGCTGCTACTTGCAGGGTACAAAAGAAAATTCTTTGGGCGTAAGTCCTGCAACAGTGTGAAAAACCATCCAGCTAAGGATTTTCAGCCACAAAAAGTCTCATGAACAAAGGACAAGAATTCAGTTTGCTTTAATGTAGAGGCTAATACTCCCCTCCCAATTCACTCCTGACACACATACCCCATTGCAGTTAGAGCTATTTTAATGCCTAATTCCTGAGTGAGAAGGCATTTTTGAGGGGTGGTAATATCTGGACACTAATGGGCAATCCCTTCCCTTCTGAAACCAGCAGCTCTCCCTTCACCAAATCAGGAAGCAATTAGGCATCAAAATAGTCTCCATTTATGAGTGATGGGGAATTTTTCAGGACTGTGGTCTCCTCCCCAGTTGTAACTACCTAATGAGGGCATAAACATGCTCTAGCAACATTTTTTTTCAGCTATGTCTCCATGATACTGCCCTGTCTCATCCCAGCCCATGACTGAGAAAGGTTTAAGTCTTCCTTAGCTGTACTGGTGTTAAAGTAGTCCTGTCTCCCTTATTCTGGCATTGTCCAAGGCAGCCTCAAGGAGTATACAATGCTTTAGGCTTTATCACACATTACCTTGGAGGAAAGTTGGGGGATTGGTAGTTACTGGGAACAGAGGCAATAAAGGCAGGATTGGCAGCAGGTACAGCAAATTAAAGGCTGGCATAATTTCTGCTGATTCAACTCAGCAGTGCAGAAGGGCCTATGTGTATGTGAAAGAGTGAGTGAATTGAATGTGTGAGTGTTCCATGCTAGTGCATCACATTTGCCAGACACTCAGGATGACCATTATTTTCCTTTCATTAGGAAGTAATTTGTCTTTCTGTTCTACTTCCTGCTTCTCTAAGTGAGGGCCACAAGGGCATCTCATCTCTGCTGCATATTTGATAAAACACCTTCCCACTCCCCACAGGGCCATTAGCATTAACTATCCTATGGAAAGGATCCTAGAAATATTGTTTTTAAATAAATTGTGCATTTTTATTTATAATTGTTTATATTGCTTGTGAATCACTTTGAAAGGAAAATTAACATAACAATAACTGTAGCAAAATAAAATTAGATTTCAATCTGTAATGCCTTATCCAAGTTGTGAAAGATGGATTGATGAAAATAAGCTAAAAGTGGAACATTATTTTTTGATGGTCCCTCTGCTTCAAGATTATGGCTGCAACATGTTTTGGATAAGGTTATATGAAAGATTTGACTCATACAGTAGCTGGGGAGAGAGATGTTAACTGATCTGTGTTTAGAGACTCAGTCGGTAAAGTAAGAGTGCCTTTACCAGCTTTGACCAGAATACTTGTTACCCTTTTTCTTGAAAGTGCGAAGCCTTATCATAACAATTCATGGTTTTATCACTATTGAAATGTGTATAGAATGCTGATGTCAGGTTGTTGGCTGGAGCTGATGATCATAATCTTATTTTATTTACACTTGTTACTTTAAAATAGTAATTCCAAACTATAAATAATTAAAATAAAAATAATTAGAGATGTAGATATCTAAGATACTGCCTTAACGTACATTCAGGAATGGCCTTGCTCTGGGTGCTTTTTGATTATGGAATCAAGAGAGAACTTGGGCCTTTTAGTTCTGATACTGATGCTACAGAATGCTTAGAATCATAAAATTGGAAAGCAGACATTTAGGCCACGAGAGCCATCCAAATTACAGCATCCCTAACTACTGGCTCTCCAGTATCTATTTGAACACATCCAGTTAAAGGGAAACTACCACCTCTCTGGTTAATTAGTTGCACTTCTGAATTTATTGTTAAGATTTTTTTTTTCCTAACATCCAGTTGGAACTTCCTATAATTTATTATGCTATGTACTGTGGAATGATAGAGAACTTCTGGTGACATCTTTCAGGTATTTGAAGAAAGCTATACTATCTGTCTTTGTTTTTTTTCTCAGAGCAAACCATTTCCAAATTCTTTCAAGCTCTTTTGAGAGAGAGAGAGAGAATTTAGTTTCTAGTCCTCTGATCATTCTCACTGCAGGATGATTAGTTTACAGAACTGGACACAAGACTTGAAGTGGAATCTGACTAACCAGAATTAAGTGGAACAATTACTTCCTGTGATTTGAAAATGATACTTTTGTTGATGCAGCCAAAATTACATGTACTTTCCTTGTAATCACATCACATTGCTGACGCATCAGGAAGGATCAGATGCTAAGCATCTGAAAGCTAAAATCTGTCTCTTTCACACAAGTTAACCATTTTCCTTTTATTTTTATTTTGACTGGCTATTGTGGATATTTATCTTTTATTATATATTCCTGCTATTTCTTATTCCTAATGTTTACCCCTGATTTTTTTTTGCTAATTATCTTTTTAAAAAATATAGTTATATTTTGTAAACTGATTTAGGCTGTTCTTTTACAAGGAACAAATGTTTCAAAATTAAAATAAATATATTTGTCAGATTACTATACCTGTTTCTCTTTGAGCAGAAGCAACTTTTGGTCCTTGATGACAAAGTAGCGTTCCTGAAATTTGTTCCCCAGTAGCTTAGCCAATTCCTCACGGCATTTCAAAAGACCATATTTTGGGCTCTCACGTTTAGTATCTACAGCAAGACAGAGACATTGGGAATAAGTTTTACAAGGCAAGATATATTCCAAATAAATATACTGGGCAGAATCATAATTTAGCGGTTATGTGACAGACAAGTGACATCTTTTTAATCTTTAGATTCTTTGCTGAATCTGAACATATGAAGCAGCCTTATACTGATTTGGACTATTGGTCCATCTGCTCTCTACTCCAACTGACATGAGGTTCTTGAGGGCTTAAAGGACATTTATATATGCTATTACTAAAAATTCAGGGGTGAAGAATTTGGCCTGAAAGAGATTGGTACAGTCTACCGGATGGTACATTGGTACAGTCTATGCAGTCCACTTGTTAGGCCTCTCCTACTTTGCATAACTCACCTTCACTGAACGTTCTCAAGCAGAAGCTACACAGCTATCTGTTGATGATGGTTTACTTTGGATTCCTGCACTGAGCAAGGAGTTCAACTTGATAGTTTAAATGGTCTCTTCAACTCTACTTTCATGATCACAATTCTCTAATCATTCTTAGCAGAGCAGAGGATGGAGGGATTATTTCCTTGTGTTCTACACTTACTGCTCAGTTAACTTATCTGTATGTGTGTATAAAAGAGTACTGTGCATGAATGTGAGAGAATGAATTGTTATACCTGAACAGCCCAGCCATTCTTACCCCAGACCCTATCCACCTTAGAAACACAGACCTCTGGGAGCTAATCCTTGGGTAAATATGATCTTCAGCCTCAGAAAGAATTTCACACTGCTGTTTTAATGGGAGATGATAGAGATTAAACATGGGGATGTCTGAATGGAAAGTATGCATTTTACTACTAAGTTATTCCTCCTCCATAAAATACTTTTGGACATGAACTTTTATATTATATAATATAATGAACATTGGAAATTGCAATATTATGAATCAGATCACCAGGCCAGCTAGATTAGTACTATCTTCGCTCCTAGCACCTTTTCACATTTTCAGATAGAAATCATTATTATAATTTTCTCGGCTGCTGTATATATTTATTTTTGTATTAATTGTTTTAGAATTGTTTGCTGCCCAGAGTCACTTGGTTGAAATGGACAGCTATGGAAAATCAATCAATCAATCAATCAATCAATCAATCAATCAATCAATCAATCTTGTACTCAAGCCACAGAGCTCAACTCTATTCCTATACAGACAAGAGATGCTATATAAAATGTCATTCTGATGGTTTTAAAAACAATAACAGGCTTATTTGTCTCTTAAATAGTAGGCTCACTCACCTGTGAAAAGACAGCTTCCTTCCTTGATGGGCACCTTTTTTACAAGCAAATATGCAGAGCTAGGTTTTGGCAACTTGCACCACTGTAGGGCCTGCTCTAGAACTTTCTCCTTGGGATGCAAAGGACGCTCTGAAAAACGATGTTCAGAAGAAGAGTTCAACGTTTAGTATATGCAGGTACCAGGAGGCATTCAGGAAACTAAACATCAGAAGAATGCCAAGGATACTTTGCACTACATCTCTACCCCAGGCAGAACAGGAGATCTGACGGAAAACTTGACCCAGAGCCTTGAGGCTGCAAGGTACTGGATGAGTTAGAACAAACTCAGATTTAATCCCAGCAAGGCAGGGTAAATGTTTGTGCAGAAACCCTCAGATGTCAAGAAAATGCTCTGTTTACTTCTGGATGGGATGGCACTCACCCTGGAGAAGATCTAGGGTTTTTCTTGGACTCAGGATCCTACTAAAGCAGCAGATGGAAACAAGAGCCTTTGGCCAGCTTCAGCTGATTTGCCAGTTGCTGCAATTTCTGGACTTGGAAGCACTGACTATACAGTGATTCATGCTTTTGTCCTCTCCTGGTTAGATAACTGCATTTTGTTCTACATGGAGCTGCTCTTGAAGATGACTTAAAAGCTACAACTGGTGCAGAGTGCAGCTGTTGACTGATGGAAGCCAGTTTATCAGAATGATAGTTATATTGTGGAAGGTGTACTTGCTGTTGCCAGGCTTCAGGACCTAATTTAAGGCACTAGCTTTAAAATGTAAGTCTCATTATGGCCCATATTCTCATTTACAGCTACACCAAGAGGAAAGTGTGCACCCAACACATGCAAGCCTAGAAGGAGCAATGCAGTTTCCCTCCAAAGGTCTGGAAGTCAGAGGCTCAGTGGATGGCTACCTTGATCACAGATCCTCACCTTGGAACAGCTTGTCTTCCAAGGTTAGGATTGCCTCTTCCTTAGTAGTAGTTTGGAAAGCAGTAAAAACTGTTTTTCTCTAGGACCTTTGGAGAGGTGAGCCTCATCTAAGGTGGACAGCAATAACGGTTAGTTGTTTAATTGCATTATGTTTTTATGGTGCTTTGTATTGTAAGCTGCCTAGAATCCATGGAGCAGACAGCATACAAATTCTTTAATAAATAAAGCTGTTCTATTTCACAGAATCATAATTTGTCCTATGAGCAACTCTTTCTCACAAGCTTGATTTCCACCCCTTTTCAGGTAATTCTCCTTCCATCATTAAATCCTTCTGGATATTTGGTGTGTAGAACTGGACACGATACTCCAGATACACTAAAACTTATTAATTGCTTGGTGGATTTTTAAAAATAAAATATGGGATAATCATAACAGCCTTAACCTTACTCAGAAAGAAAAGAAACAAACTGTTTTTACTCACCTAGCTCCCCATTATCTAAAACTTCAAAGGTCAGCCAAAGATCTGGACTAGCTGCTACATTTCTCATCTCAAGCACCTGATTTGTCAGTTCTTCTGCTCTCATTTGGGGGGAAACCTTTAGGGTAATTAAGAACAGAATTCTGATTTTCAGCCAATGCATGGTAGAGTGTATATATTAATAAACTTTAGCACAGAAATCAGTTTATATGAAACCAGTACCATTTTGTGCCTTAATGATAGTTATGAGCCCTTCCTTTTTTTCCACTCCAGAGTACCCCTGGGCAGTTTACACACAGCCAATTTATCTTGGCCTGATTTCTCTTGCACAAAAAAGCCAAAGGGTTCACTTACCTGAACACAATCCCTAGCAATAGTGGTGGCTGAGAACTCTATTGCTTACCTTAAGAGTAATACAACAGTCAGGATTCTTCTGCTCCAGGTATACCTCCAGGATGATATCACCCGCCTGTGAGAGCTGTACAGAGAAAATTGATGTGAAAGCAATGCATGGCAGGAGAAAATAATGGGCAAAACAATATCAGAAATGCTTCTCAGTAGCAGCCCCTAAATTCTGGAATACCCTTCCTCCCAAGATCAGGACAGCAATATTACTATCGGCCTGCCAGGAATTAGTGAAAACTGAGTTATACCAGAAATTAATGAGTAATTGAGTGATGTCACAATTGTGTAGACCGTATTTTCTCTGTTTTTAATCTGTTGGAATATTATTGTTTGATTTTATTATTATTTTTAAGATGTGTAAAACTGAGAGTTGGTTTGATTAGAGTGTTATAGAAATACAATAAATAAATATATGATCCAATATATTTATTTAGCACGTTTCTATACTGCATGTCCCACAGAATTGGATACTGGGAATGGATGGAAGCCATGGCCAGCTTTCTGAATGATTAGAAAGAGAATTCAAACTCCACAATGACTGTTCTTGCTATTCCTTAATCATTCTGGAAATTACTGAAACTGGACTAGAAGAGGAGGACTAGAATTTGCTAGCACAATATCTCATATATATCCCTATGATTATCCATTGCTAGTGCTGGATTATGGATACATATTCATATTCATTGTGCAGCCCTTGGGGCTGAAAAGGTTTACTATCCCTGCCTTAAGATGTTTCTTTGACTGCTGATGTTATCAGTGTATCTGCCAAGCAATATACCAAAAGGATGGGTAGTAGGCACTGTAGTACCTTCACATCCCGCCAGGTAGTAATCAAACTGTTCTCCAAGTCCATCTGTAACACCTGGTCTTCATCAATCTAGAGCAGAAGAAAAGCTACAGTAAAATACACATAAAACAAAGCTTTGTGTGATACAGGGAGGAGGAGAAGCAAACTCACATTGAAAATATGAACATAGTTGCCAATCAGGTCCTCCATCACCTTGACCTCATGTTCCCCTTTTCCATTTGTCTGGAAGAGACTGGGTGCAAATAACAGAGCGAGGTTCTTGGTGCTCATCTGATTGAGACTGACACATTTCTGGACCCTACAGTGGTAAGCAAAAGGACCCCATTAAAAGCTGATTGCTGTATCCAAAGGAGGGAAGCAGTGATGAGAGGAAAAACTAGAGTCTGGCACACTTGCAAACAGAAGCTAGTCTAGGTGTAACTATCAACAAGAAGGGTAGAGTGTCATCTACAGAGCACCCTTGAATAAGTGGGTTATCTATATTCATTTCAGTTTGGATTTACAACTGATCATGGGATGGAAAACTGTTCACTCCAGTCAATGACCTTTTTTGGGACCTGAATGAGGGAGTCCATCCCTTACAGTCCTTTTAGACCTTTTGGGAGCATTTGATATCACAATATTTTCCTGTACCAACTGCAAGAGTTTGAAGTTAGAGACACCCTGCTTCCGTGGTTCTGCTCCATCCTAAATGGATGGTACCAGCAAGTAGCAGAGGGGAAGGACAGGTCAGCTAGTGAGTTCATGTTTTTGGGGTCCCACAGAGCTCACATGAATACAAAACTTCTGGGAGGGGTCATCAGTTAGTTTGGGTTGAGCTAATAACACTCAGCTGTATATTCCCAGCTTGGGCCAAGTCAGAGATGGTACAGAAGTTTTGAACCAGTGTTTGGAGACTGTTGAGGCCTGGAAGTTGAATCCAAGCAAGATGAAGTTTGTATACAGAGGGGAATCTCTGTCTGTTCCAGAGATAACTCTGGATGGGTTGGACTGCTCCTGAAAGAGCAGGTATGTGATATGGTGGTCTCCTTAGATTCACAGTTGCTAATAGATAGGCAGATGAAAGCTTTGGCCAGGGGCCACTATGCCCAGCTCTGGATGTGTCCTTTTATTATCCTCCCTATAGCAGGAGGCAACTCATGCACTTATCACCATATGGTTGGATTACTGCAATGTGGTATACTTGGGGCTGCCTTTGAGGATCACTTGGGAACTGTGTTTGGTCCAAAATGTCATGGCTTGTATTTTGGCATTGGTAATTTGCCATTATCATATAACACATATCTTACAGTTGCTACACTGGGTACCAACAGATTTCAAGATGCAATTCAAAGTGTTGGTTTTAACCAATAAAGCCCTATGGCTTTCATCCAAGTAAGGTTATCACCATCACTGTTGGTCTCCTGGAAATGTTTGAAAACTGGATTGTTCCAGAACCACTTGGGAGTGAAACCTGTCACCACTGCACTTATTCCCATTAGATAGATTTTGCATTAGAATATTTTGTACTGGTTGAACTGATCTATGACCACTAATAATTCAGTGGCTGAATATTTAGGTGGGTAGTGACAGGTTCCAGATGTATGGATTTAAAAATTTTGACTGGCCAAATATTAGCAGACCATGTCACTGTAGTGATTTATCTCGATGGGCTGAAATGCTAGTTGATATGTAATAGAAAGTCTTGCTGAGCTGCTCAGCTAAATCCAAAACAAGCATCTTTAATGTAATTTGGTTACCTAAATTATCTTTTTCAGGCTTAGCTAAATGATTGTGCATACAGATTTCTTACAGATATGTCAAGACGTTAAAGCAATTGAAATGACAAAAAGGGAGGGGTTTCAATTATGTCTGTGAAATTGTCTGAAAGGGATTGAATTGTTTCTTCCCTCTGCACAGTTCCCCAGTTTAAATTATCCCCAAAGGGGCAGTAATACAAGGGCAAGGGAGGAAAAATACAAATAAATACAAATACAGATGAATGTATTTCAATTCATTTATTTCATTTATATTTCATCTTTTCTCTGAGAGCACAAAGCAGCTTAGATGCGGAGGTGAGGAGGTTCCCTGATTTTATCCCCAGAGTAATCACAGCCCTGTTAGTAGATTAGACTTTAAAAAGTAACTGAGTACTTGTCTTTTTGTATCTATGGTTACTGGTAGCATAGAATGAAAGATTTCCATGGGAGAATTTACTGGGGGGAGGGGGGAGGGGATTAATTCATCCTTTCCTAGTGCCAGTGCCCTGATCTTTCATGAGCATATTAACCAATGATAAATTGCATTTCTCAGATCAGATTGCATAACTCTGCTAATCTGTTGCTTTGCCTACTAACAAAGGCCTCACTAGGTATGAAAACAAACAATAACTCACATTCACAAGACACAAATTTGTATATTACTCTAGCTCTAGCTCCTGTTAGGACTTCCTTTCTCCTATGGAGTCCAGCAGACCTTTTTGGTTTACTATGTAGATTCAGGCTTCAGCTGAACCCTGGTAAGACAGAGTGGCTATGGATTGGAGGCCCCTCTGAATCCAAGGATTTACCATCTTTGTTTTGGGATGGGGTTGCACTGCCCTGGATGGACCCGGTGCATAATCTGGGGATCCTCCGGGATTCACAAGTCCTGCTCAAGGAGCAGGTGGCAGTCGTGGCCAGGAGAGCCTTTGCCCACTTTCGTGTGGTATGCCACTTACGCCCCTTCCTGAATCAGGAGGCTCTCTGGTCAGTCACTCATGCCCTGGTCATCTCTCGGCTAGACTATTGCAACGTGGTCTACATGGGGCTACCTGTGATGAAAGGCATGAGCGGGGAGGATTCTGGAATGGAGTTTCAAGGTTACAGGGAGGGGGGAAGAGACATTCCAAGGAAAGCGTCTCCTCAGCCCCCAGATGGACTGTGTGAAAGTCAAGAGGAGGAGACTGCCCCCCCCAAGGGGATGATGGTTATAGTTGCTATCATTGGGGGATTAGAGTTAGTCTGGCAAGACTCTGTCTATTAGGTGCAAGCTAATAAAGAAGCTGAGTTGAATTCTGGACTGCCTCATGGTGATTCTTGGGCTGAATCTGACATCAATCTATTGGAGTTAGTCTGGCCTTCCATTATACTACCTTTGAAGAGTATCCGGAAGCTACAGCTGGTCCAAAATGTGGCTGCACAGATAATTTTGAGTGCCCCAAGAATGGTGCATATAACACCTTTACTACGCGAGCTGCATTGGGTCCCAGTCTG